GTTGGTAATGCACCAATTAGGTTTCCACTTGACTCCTAATCACTTAATTCAGTATATAAAAGCAAAAGTGAAATTAATTTGTAAAACACAAGGTAGGGTTGTATGCATCCGGGGCTTGCCTTCGTTGACGGAAAAGTCCGATTCCTGCGACGTTTCACAAGTATTCGAGCCGACTTCAACAGACGGACTAACCTCCTCCGCAACTTGATTAACTACCACGTGTTCACCTTCGTTCACTACACGTAGTACAATGCCATGTTTAACATGATGTGGAATACGAAACATGATGCTTGATGATGGATGGAAAATTAACAAATCGAATACAACTTTCCTTCGCGGTACAGTTACAAGTCAAACTAACTAAACCTATTTCGTAATTCATACATTCATTGCCAAAGATCATTACAAACTAATGACCCAAGAACATCACGAAATCAAAAATTCAAACAAATCTAAATCACTAAAGTTTACTATTTGCTTTTATGAATTAATTAAGAATTATGAAATAAATCAACTTGTTCCAATTGACCTCAAATTTTTTGTAAATGTTCATCACATGATAACTAAGTGGCAAAACAATTTTCATAATTTTTGGATAAATAAATAAGCCTAGAAACTCTTGGGGCGCCGTGATTGAGGTCGGATGGCAACACTGCTTCGACTCCATATGCCAGGAAGAAAGGGGTGAACCTCGTGGATCGGTTTGGGGTTGTTCTTAGGCTCCAGAGGATTGCTGGGACCTCAGCGACCCATCGGTCGGCATACTTTTTGAGCCAGTCAAACATGCGGGGCTTGAGTCCTTGGAGGACCATGCCATTGGCCCGCTCGACCTGACCGTTAGTACGTGGGTGTCTAACCAAGGCCCAGTCGATCCTGATGCCGTATCCATCACAAAAGTCCAGGAACTTCTTTCTGGTGAAGTTTATTCCATGGTCGGTGATGATACAGTTAGGGACACTAAACCGATAAATGATGTCAAGGAAGAACATGACTACCTCTTCCGAGCGGATGTTGGTGATGGGCTTCGCCTCGATCCACTTGGTGAACTTGTCCACCACCACAAGTAGGTGAGTGAAACCACCCAGGGCTTTTTTGAGGGGCCCGACCATGTTGAGGCCCCATACCACGAATGGCCAGGTGATGGGGATGGTCTGGAGTCCCTGCGTCGGTTTGTGATTTTGCCGAGCGTAGAATTGGCATCCTTCATATCTATGGACAACCTCCTCGGCATCTCGCAGCGTGGTGGGCCAGTAAAAACCTTGGTGAAAGGCTTTCCCGACCAGCGACCTTGGGGCCGTGTGATGTCCGCAGATTCCGGCATGGACTTTGAGGAGAAGCTGTTTCCCCTGGTCGGTCAGGATGCACTTCATGAGCACTCCCGATGGACTTCGCCCGTAAAGTTTGTCACTGATGGCGATGAATGTCTTGGTGCGTCGAGCAATTCGCCGTGCTTCAGTACTTTCCGGTGGGAGGACCACCTTGAGGCTCTCTAGTCGGCTGGATCGAGTGCCATCACGGCGATGTCACCAGACGACATCGTCATGGAGGTGCCAAGGTCAGAGCCCCGGAGCACTCGGTCAGGGTCGGAGCACATCGGGGGGTCGGAGCCCTCGAGCGCCAGATTGGTGTCGGAGCGCGTATGGGTCGGATCCTCTCGGATGCGACAGACGGCTCATGGAGGTCGTTTATAAAGACCCCGTTGGCGGGCGGTCCCCATCTGGCCGCCAATTTCACCAGGAAGTCGGCGGCGTCGTTGTCCTTCTAAGGGACATGATGCAGTTCGATCCCTCTGAACTTGTCCTCAAGCTTGCGCACCTCCTAGCAGTACGCCGTCATGAGAGGGCTCTTGTAGGAGGACTCCTTCATGACCTGGTCGATGACCAGCTCCGAGTCGCCACGGACATATAACCGCGTCGCGCCGAGCTCGATGGCGATGCGTAGCCCATTGATGAGGGCCTCGTACTCTATGGCGTTGTTGGAGGCTGAAAAATGGAGAGGGACAACATAGCAGAGCCTGCTCCCATTCGGGGAGATCAGGACCACTCTAGCCCCCGAGCCGGGCGCCATGACCGACTCGTCGAAGTACATTGTCCAATACTCGTAGATGACATCCGAGGTCGGGAGCTAGACTTCCGTCCATTCGGCGATGAAGTCGGCAAGAGCCTGAGACTTAATAGCGGTGCGAGGGACATACCTGATGTCGTGGCCCATGAGTTCGAGAGCCCACTTGGAGATTCGGTCAGCGGCATCACGGTTGAGGATGACCTCCCCGAGCAGGTACGAGGTGACGACCACGACCTCACGGTCGGTGAAGTAGTGCAGGAGCTTCTGGGTTGTCATTAATACGGCGTACATAAACTTCTGAACCTGGGGGTAGCGAACTTTGGCGTCGGTGAGTATCTCATCGACGAAGTACACCGGTCACTGGACTTTCAGGGCGTGTCCCAGCTCTTCCCTCTCGATGATGAGGGCGGCGCTCACCATGTGGTTGCTTGCCGCGATGTAGAGGAGGAGAGGTTCTCCCAGTTCGGGAGCGACGAGGATTGGGGCCGACGTCAGTGATGCCTTGAGGCTTTCCAAAGCTTGTTGTGCCTCCTTTGTCCAGACGAATGCATCTGTCTTCTTGAGAAGTTTGTAGAGGGGCATCCCATATTAGCCTAGTCGGGGAGATGAACCGGCTTAGGGCAGCCAAGCAGCCGGTGAGCCTCTATACGCCCTTGACATTGCGTATAGGGCCCATATTGGAGATGGCCGTGATTTTTTTGGGGTTGGCTTCAATGCCACGCTCGAACACGATGTATCCGAGCAGCTTCCCCTTTGAAACCCCGAAAACACATTTTTTGGGATTCAATTTGATGCTGAACCATCGGAGGTTCACGAATGTGGCGGCTAAGTTTGCGATCAGGTCGGTAGCTTGAGCCGTTTTCACCACTATGTCATCTACATAGATGGTGATCGTCGGTTTTGGCCGCTCCACTTGGTCAGAATAGGTGGTGCATGCACTGCTGATAGGTGGCGCCCACGTTCTTCAGACCGAAGGGCATGGTTACATAACAGTACGAACCATATGGGGTGATGAACGAAGTCGTGACCTGGTCGGACTCTTTCATCGCAATCTGGTGGTAGCTAGAGTAGGCATTCAGAAAAGAGAGGATTTCACATCCTGAGGTGGGGTCGACTATCTGGTCTATGCATGGTAAAGGAAAATGATCCTTTGGGCACGCCTTGTTGAGGCTAGTATAGTCAACACACATTCTCCATTTCCTATTCTTCTTTTTCACAAGAACAGGATTAACTAGCCAGTCGGAGTGGTATACCTCTTTGATGAATCCGGCTGCCAGAAGTTTGGCGATCTCCTCGCCTATAGCCCTGCGCCTCTCATCATCAAAGCGACGTAGGCATTGATTGGCGGGCTTTGAGCCTAGGACGACGCGTAGTGCATGCTCGGTGACCTCCCTTGGTATGCCCAGCATGTCAGAAGGCTTCCATGCGAAGACATCGTGATTTGCGCGTAGGAAGTCGGCGAGCTCGCTTTCCTATTTGGCCGAGAGTTTGGTCCCGAACCGCACTGTCTTTGTTGGGTCGTTGGGGTCGATCTCCACCGCCTTGGTTTCCTCTATCGAATGGAAGGCGCTCGAGGAGGTCGGCCCGTTGCGTTCGGGGACTGCTGGAGTCGCCGAATTTCCGAGCTCTGGGAGCTCGGTGGAGTTGATGACGGCAGTGGCGAGCTCGTAATGCTCGCGGTCGCACATGTAGGTGTACGATAAGGTGCTACCCACGGTGATGACGCCGTTTGGTTCCAGCATTTTCAGTTTGAGGTAGATGTAGTTAGGAATCGCCATGAATTTGGAGTGGCATAGCCGTCCCAACATGGTATGGTAGGACCCCGAAAAGTCCACTACCTCGAAGGTTAGGACCTCCGAGCAAAAGTTGGCGCGGTCGCCAAACGTGACAGGCAGGTCAACCTGCCCGAGTGGGTATGCCTGCATCCCTGGGATCACGCCGTGGAAGGGAGAGCTCACGGAGCGGAGCTCCGACCGGGGGATGCACATGGCGTCGAGGGTGTTGACGTAGAGAATGTTGAGGCCGCTGCCTCCGTCCATTAGCGCCTTGGTGAGGCGTTTCTTGCGGATGATGGGGTCGACGATGAGCGGGTAGCGACCCGGTCGGGCGATGTGGCAAGGATGGTCCCTTTGATTAAAAGTGATCGGAGAGTCCAACCAGCTAAGAAAAGAGGGGATGGCCGACTCGGCGGCACATGCCTCTCGGTAGTGTACCTTGTGCTGGCGCTTGGAGTGGACGGCGTCAGATCACCCAAAGATCATGAGGCACTCCTCGGGGTCGGGGAAGCCGTCTTCATCCTTGCCCATCGCGTCTCTCTTCTTGGCTGCGTCCTCCTTGCCTTTCCCCTCCTTTGGCTTGGCTGCTTGCGGCAGGAAGCTGTAACACTCCAGGTGTTTACCATACATTAAGCAGTAAGTTTGAACCCAATATCTATCTATCTTGATCACGGGAGAAGTTTCGTAAAGTTTAGAATCAAAAATCACACGAAGTAATAAGTCATATCAACATCTTGTCCAGGAACCTACTTCCAGTGGGGGGTCTCCGATCTGCGTAAACTTGTGTCTGCAGCCGGGGTTGGCTGCAAGACTGTGGACGTAGTTGGAGTGGAGGTTAACGGGGCTAAATGAGTCCCAGCTACGGTCCCTTAGCTCCAAACTTTGCGCAATCCTTTGCGTACCCTGTGCTGGCTGCCCGCCGTGGTCCCTGGTTCCTCCAAACCACTGGTAACTTTGGTAGTCTGGCCACCATTTCTAGGCTAAGCTTTAGCTTATTTGTTCCTGGCTGTCATTCTGCTTGTAGGCTTCTACTTTGCCGATGTCAATGTTGTTTACCTATCCTTGAAGCTTTATTGTACTGTAAGCTGCTAAGCCACTTTCGGTCCAGCCGGTGCTTTGGAACTTATAATGAATAGTTCGTTTAATCGCGTCCTGAACGTTATGTCGTGGAACGTGCGCGGTTTAGGCAATCCGGACAAATGTGTAACGGTTAAAGATGCTATTCTGAATGCAAAACCTTCTATTATCTGTCTTCAAGAAACAAAGCTTTCTGACATTATTTCTTTCAAAGCAAAAACTTTCCTTCCTCCAGCTCTCGCCTCGTCTTATACTTTTGTACCCTCTGTTGGATCCCGTGGTGGTCTCTGCACTGCCTGGGATTCCTCGGCTTTTACCTCCACAAATGATGAGCAGCGCCTTTACACCCAAACTGTAACCTTCCATTCTACTATCTCTGACATCACCCTCACCATAACTAATGTCTACGCCCCCTCTGATCACTGTCACACTCCTGCTTTCCTGTCTGAGCTTTCTGAAATTGCCGACTCAATCTCTGGCCCTTGGGTTTTAATTGGCGACTTTAACCTTATTAGAACCCGGGATGACAAAAACAACAACAATTTCAATAGAGCTTTAGCAGATTCCTTCAATGACACTATACATGCTTTAGCTATCTCTGAATTCCACCTTTCTAATCGTCTCTACACCTGGACTAATCTTCAGCCCACGCCTATCCTGGCTAGGCTGGACCGAGCCTTTGCCAACCTAGAACACTGCCACAACTTCCCTGACTCTACCCTTTACTGCCTTCCCCGACCAACCTCGGATCACACTCCGTTAATGCTATCAATGTCCACTACTATCCCAAAAACTAACATTTTTCGTTTTGAGAGATCCTGGCTTCACAACAATACTCTTATGCCATCTATTCTCCCGGTTTGGATTAATGCCCCTCGTTGCTTGGATATGGCCGGGCAGCTGGCGGTTAGCATCAAATCGACGCGCTTGGCGGCTAAGGCTTGGAACCGGCGTAACAGGGCGCCACCATCCCTAATCCCAAACTGCAAGTTCATTATCCAGTTATTTGATTCTTTCGAGGAGGAACGCAACCTTTCCTGTCATGAGTTTCAGGTTAGGAAACTATGCCAGGATCGGTTAGCCTGGGCTCTCAAAGAACGAGCAACTTATTGGAAACAGCGAAGCAAACACAAAGCAATCAGAGAATGTGACGAAAACACTGCTTTCCATCATACCCAGGCCACCATGCGCCGAAGAAACAACAACATTCGGCTAATCGAGGTGGATGGAGTACAGATTACCAATCATGAAGGCAAGGTCAATGCTCTTACAAATTACTTTAAAGAAATAATTGGACAGCCAGGAACCTCAACCTTTCAGTTCAATGTCCATGATCTGTTCTCAGAAAGCCCAAGGCCTTCTGATTCCCTTATTGACAGATTTACTGAGTCTGAAGCAAAAGAAGCGCTTTTCTCTATGAACTGCAACAGTGCTCCGGGGCCGGATGGTTTTGGTCCTGCATTCTATCGGGCAGCCTGGAACACAGTCAAGAGTGATGTTATGAATTTCCTGAATGCTTTTCATGGGGGTCAGGTGGACTTGGATAGGATTAATAGATCATACATGGTGCTCATTCTGAAGAAGCCCGGTGTCTGTTCTGTTGATGCCTTCAGACCGATAGCTTTGCAAAATTGCAGTGTCAAAATTCTAGCAAAAATCCTTACTCGTAGACTTCAGAGACAAATTCACGATCTAATTGATCTCAATCAGACAGGCTTCATCAGGGGCAGATCAATCTCTGAAGGTTTTGTGTATGCAACTGAGCTAGTGCAACTTTGTCACAAAAGGAAGCTACCGACCCTTGTGCTCAAATTAGACTTTGCTAAAGCTTTCGACACAGTGAACTGGCTGGGTCTGCACTGTGTACTACAGGCCAGAGGATTCAGTGTTAGGTGGATCAATTGGATTTCTGAAATTTTATCGTCCTCCAAGTCTGCAGTGATTGTAAATGGTTGTCCTGGAAATTGGATTGACTGCAAGCGTGGACTTCGCCAGGGTGATCCTTTATCACCATACCTCTTCCTCCTGGTGGCAGAAACACTTCAAAAAATGATTCAGCAGGCTGCGGACATTATTCTTCACCCTGTGGATAACCTCCAACCGGCTGCTGTCCTTCAGTATGCGGATGATACGCTGATTCTATTAAAAGGTGGGGCTTGTTCGGCTGGCTTTAAGCCAGCCGGCTGGCTTGTTTTTTCTCTCACGAAATCACTGTTTATGTCCTGCCAGAACAGTATTTTTCTCTCACAACAATTAACCGAAACAGTATTTTTTAGTCCAGCCGAACAGTGCCGTGATCCCCATGGTGTTACAAGGCTGAAGAGCATTCTGGACCTCTTTGCTTCTGCAACCGGCCTCTGCATTAATTTCAGCAAGAGCACTGTGGTGCCTATCCATATGGCGGAAGAGGTGATTTTGGATGGTTTTGGATGATTGAATAGTATTCTGTGAGAGGGAATAAGCTGAAACAAGCTGAAACAAGCGAGAACAAGCCGGGACATGACCAGCCGAACGCCCTGAATTATTCTCGGATGCAGGCGGGAAGGCTTCCCTCAAACATACCTTGGCCTGCCTCTTTCGATTCACAAGCTTTCGTTGACGTCCTTCACCCCATACATTTGCAAAGCTGACCGGTACCTAGCTTCCTGGCAAGCGAGCTTACTGAATACTATGGGGCGTGTGGTGCTGGTCAATTCGGTACTGGATAGTCAACTCAACTACCTGATGAGTGCTCTTGCTCTCCCTCCGGGAGTCATCAAGCAGGTAGATAAGCAAAGACGGGTTTTCATGTGGGGTGGCAACCAGGAAATGTCAGTTGCGCAGTGCCTTGTCGCATGGAAAAAAGTTTGCACAGCCAAGGATCACGGGGGCCTGGGAACCAAAGATCTTGGCGCGCAGAATATCTGTCTGCTGCTCAAATTAATTCACAGGCTACATACTGCGACTTCATCCGCTTGGGCTTCCTGGGTACGGCAACGAGCGTGCCTGGCCACTTTGCAAGGGGATCTCCATGGACAGCACTGGGAAGTTCTATGGTCTTTACTCCCTTTGTATCAAGCAATAACAACGGTGGACCTTGGAAATGGTAGCAGTACTTCCTTCTGGTTTGATGTCTGGTGTGGAGAAGATGCCCTTGCCGATCGTTTCCCCACCCTCCTCAGTCACTGTACCCTAAAAGATGCCACGGTGGCTGCGGCAGTCGCTTCGCAGCTCATTGGGGCCTTTGTCCTCCGGTTGTCTCCCCAGGCAAACAACGAACTTTTGGCTGTCAGGGAGATCATAGACAACACCACTCTCAGTACCTGTAATGACAAAAGACTGTCCCCCTTCTGTCTCGGATTGGGTAAATTGGATACTTCAGGAATTTACAGGCTGATCAAGTCCCAAAGCTCGTCAAGGGACGAGGCCTCAACCTTCATCTAGAAAAATGCAGCGCCACCTCGAGTGAAGTTCTTCCTCTGGCTTCTTCTGCAGCGAAGGATTCAGTGTCGATCCAACCTGCACCGCAAAAACATCGTAGAGTCCCCGGTCTGTGAAATCTGTCATTGCGAGGATGAAACACCAGAGCATATCATCTTCCGATGTCCTTTTGCTGCGGCGTTCTGGGCAAAGCTTGGCATTACTTTGGACCCAAACCAGCCGATCAGCAATCTTGTACAATCTGTCAGGCCTGCTACAATTCCTGATGATCAGTTTCCAATGTTCATGGCCCTATGCTGTTGGCAACTCTGGAAACGCAGGAATGGTGTCATCTTCAGGAACGAAGCTCTAAACTTGCAACAGATTCTTGCCTCCTGCAAGATAGAAGCCAACCTCTGGCGTTACAGGCTATCTCTACCTGCTAGAACTCTGATAGATCGGTGGTGTTTCTTTTTTGATTCTGTAATGTAGAGTTCTGGAGCCTCTCCTCCTCTTCCTTTTATACTGAAACCCTCTACTTGAGGCTTTGTAAACCAAGCTTTTGATCATGAATAAAATTCAGGTGGGGTCCCCAACCCCCCCCCGGTGAATGTTCAAAAAATATATATATATATATATCGTTGCTTGAATTGCTTTACTAAGTGGGTGGAAATATACGAGTCCAACCAAACCTTACAACCTTGCCCAAACAACTCTATTTGAAATCTACAACAAAAGTTATGAAAGGTTCATATTGATCAAGTGTCAAGAAATGCCTCAATCGGCTCAAAACCCTAATTCAAGCTTTATCGTGATGCTGCTTTGACCAAAGTAAAAATTCAACTTCTGTACGAGATATGAGGTTGGTCCTTAAAGCAAAGTTAAATATCTAGATGTTTGCAACAAACTTGGTTTTTGGACCCAAGTCCAAATCTATCTCTAAGCTTGTCAAACAATGGCTCAAAAATTGAATCTGCTGCAGTTTTCAGCCTATAAAACAGTATCTGGAATTCCTAGTCATTGGCATTGGCATTCCGCGTTCTCCAAAATTTATTGAGCAACTCAAGTTGATCCAAAAATAAGAGTTGGAACATATATTTTGGAGAAGAGCCTGCAAAAATTTGGAACCCGTTCGACTTTGTTTTGGTGGTTAATTTTAAGTTTCTTTGATCGGTGTCGATACGTTGGCACTATCAGGTTGGAGCTTAATTACCCACTAATCCGTAACTCAAATGACTTTGGTCATTAAACGAAAAATGTAGATCAGTTCGTGGGCTACAACTTTTCTTTTTGGTCCATGTCCAAATTCGGTCCGTAGATGGCCCAAAAACAACGTCCCACGCCGGCCGCACGTTGCTCGCCACGTGCTCGATGGAATGCTCCAATGGACGACGCGTGTACTCGACGTGGCGTCTGTGCTGAGCTCCAGCACACCATGGCTGCCACCTCCACCTTGCTCCCTCTCTCTCTCATGTCCAGATGAAGGGGAGAAGCACCAGAACGTTTTCCTCTGCCTCTCCCACTCGCTCCCTCCTCCTTCCTCTCTCCACCCGCGCCCTCCCTCTCGCCTCTGCTCGCCGCCGTCGGCGCTCGGCGTGGCCGAGCGGCTGCCACGCCGCCGCGCCCCGGCGCACGGGCGCGAGCCTGGCCGTCCCTTCCCTGGCCGGCCTTCCCCATGGACGCCGGTCACTTTCCCTGCCTCCACCGGCCTCCCCGTTGCCGTTCCCGTCGTCGGTTTCCTGTTAAAAGGAAGAAGAATGACTCATATGCGAATAGAAACTTTTTCCCTATTTCACTTTGCATAAATGCTAGACACATGTATTTTCAGATCAAGGCTTCGATGATTTCGGAAAACTCCAGGGTTCCCGATGTAAAGTGGTTTTCTCTTTTTCTTTTTCCATATGTGTGGCTGAAACTTTGGAAAATCATATTAATTCGTAGAAAATTATAAAATAGCAAATGAGGACTTTTTGGAATCCTTGTGAAATTATATATGCAATGGATCTATAATATGGCATGCTTTAGTTTAAAGTGTTTGTTGTAAAATTGAATTTGTGCAGCCAGGTTGTTGATGCTAGTTATGACTTGTCTTTTTCATAGCTGCTGTTGTGGTGCTCACATAAATGTGAAATTTATATGGAATGCGACTAAGGTTATTGTTGATGTCGAGTAAAAATTTCAGTATTTTAGGCTTGATGGTTTAAGATCTATAAAAATAACAAATTCGTTGTGCTACTGTTTGGACTGCAGGTGCAGTTTTAGTTAAGCAATTAATATCGTGATTAAGATGGTGTTTTCTGTAGGTATGTTGAATACCAAAGTGGTATCTAACATCATGATCTAGCTTGTGTTAAATTTTCATGACCATATCTCTAATGGTTTAGGAGTTATAGGTTTTATTAGTTATATTCAGGTTTTGCTTTCTCACTGGACAGATCTGAAAGATTGTACTGGTTGTCTTAGTTAAACCTGTAATCATGTCTTGGTGATATTATAATAGTTGTAGTATTTTTCATAATCTTTTGAAATTGTTAAATATCACATTTTTTGGTGATCTAAATCTCCAGATGTGAGCTTGTGAAGTGGAATGACAGATTCTATCCAAATCTGGACAGAGAAGTCTTCTTTGTATTGTTTGACTTTGTTTGCTGTAGAATCATCTTTGGATGATAATAAGAAAGTTGTAGAGAAATTACTAAGCTTTCTAGAGAGTTAAAAATCATGGTTGTTGGATGGGTAGAACTTTAGGTATTCATCTCTGAAGTTCATGTCAGTTTTCTGTCTATAATCTGAGCAGGTCTGAAACATTAGCATGCTTGGCCATGTTAATCTGTGAATTAACTTTTGGTGTTTATAACAAAGTTATGTATAATTTTCTAAGTTTTCTAAAAAGTCTAGAACCACCTTTATGTGATAGTTAGAACTTGAGTTATTGTTGTTTGAAATTATATGTCAGATTCTGTCCTTGTTCTGGACAGAATTATTTGTTTGTGTGTTTAAGGCTAGATAAATGTTGAATCACCTAAACATGATAATAACAAAGTTATAAATAATTTTATTATATTTCTAGAAAGTCTAGGATCACCCTTGTTAGATTCTTCTAACTTCTGTTATGATTAAAACAAGTAACTGTTAAGCTGCTGTCCGATTCTGGGCACATGCTTAGTTAATTGTTTTACCTTGCCTTTGTTTGGTTAACCATATTGGTTAGTTTTTGTTTGAGGAATGCTTGATATAGCTTAACTTAAGCAACTTGTGTGTTATTCTTGATGTTCTTGTTATATCCAAGTGTTATGTTTGGTGATGTTAGCTAATCAACTGTAGGTGCCTATGTCTTGCATGACCTTGTGTTGTCTTGAATGCTCGTATGTGATATATCTTGTGTTACCATTCTTCGCATTCATGCACTTGCATCGTTGTATATCATTTAGGTACGATAGATACACCACGTGAAGGACGTGATGATTGGAGCCGAACCCGAAGACGGTGTTTGGTGGAGTTAAACCGAAGGTGGTATTGATGGATGGATCCAGAAGATGGAAGGACCATCGGAATACAAGTATGGATCGGAGATGCTCGCCAAGCGAGTGTCATCTAACAAACACTGACCTAGTGTTGGTTCCCAGGCAAGCCCCGGATGCATTTAAACCCTACCTTGTGTTTTATAAATCTTATATCACTTATTATTATAAAATGTTGCATTAAGTGATTAGGAGTTGAGTGAAAACCTAATTGGTGCATTACCAACCTTGTTTTTCAATATCAACCTTGTTACAAGCTTCAATTCGAGAATGCATAATTATGCTTAGCCATGCTTAGACCAGTAAAAGACGGGTGATTTCTTGTCACCTGCGAGATATAAATGGATATTTGGATACGGTTGGTTCTTTATGTTATCATGAGATATAATCATGTGGAGTAATAAATCTAGACCGGGTGAACTCAGTGTATGAGAGCCACAAGACATGGAGGTCTTGTGAGCAGGTTCTTTCGACCTATGTCGATTAAGAACCGTCCGTTGTTGAAGCGCTGAGATGAGACTTTGTAGTACTGGCCACATACTCCGGTAAGCCCTACTTCGGCTATTCTATTACAAGAATGGCTACTCGCGCACTGAGAGTGGAGAGATGGCGAGAGTAGCGTGTACCCATGTGGCAATGGGCCAATTGGTGGAGTACTGTGCTCTCGAGTGGCGCAGACCGGTTCTTGTCTTAGAGGATCTGAGGGAAGGTTGATATATGTAAGATTCAGTTCTACATGTGTCGTGTGGTAAGGAAGCCCCAGCTGGGTTTTAATCAGTTCGAATCGTCGTTGCTCCTCGGATATGGAGACTCGTCTCTCATTTCATCATCGTAGTTAACAAATAGAACTTGATTAAGATCTGAGAAAGAGTTTGATATGAAGTTCATGATCTCAATATGGATCATGTCAGCTTTATATATGATCTTTATGAAGATTTAAATGTTGAAAGAAAGAATGTTATGTTAGAGAGCTTTTACGCAAAAGAACATTGATTCTTGCTAAAGCCTTACCTTGAATCCCTGAGCCTGCATTCCTGAGTCTTCTCTGTTTTTATGTCAGTTAAGTCTTGTTGAGTACTTTTGTACTCAGGATTTTATCCCACCCTGTTGCAGGTGAAGGTCTTATCCTGCTAAAGGTGTGGCTAATCGCCGGTGAGCTCGGTGACTCTATAGTTATTTCTCATCTATATGCTATTGTTAGAGGATGTTATCTAAGCTAGCAATGTATTTCAACTTATATTATTATAATCATTTCAAAGCTATGTTGTTTTGCTAAACAGTTTTGAACTCAGACTTGTATTATTATTTGTAAACTCAATTGTAATATTATTTCCACTGCAAAACTCTGTGTATGTGATTTGTATTTACTTAATCATGTGATCTTGGTTGTGATGTGATTTACCGATATCTTTCGGGACACTCGGCGGACTACCGAGTTCATATAGGTGATAGTATGTGCGTGTCAATGTGTTTAGTGGGGACAGCCGTACTTGATCTTGTATG